AGGAGGGAGGGAGGGAGGAAGGAAGGTAGGCAGGCAGGCAGGCAGGCAGGCAGGCAGGCAGGTAGGCAGGCAAGGTAGCTTAAGGCTCCAAGAAGTTTTGCCTAGAGCTACACAGCTAATTTGTGGTGAAGCCAACATTCAAGTCTTTGTCCCATCTTCTTTGGAAATAGGTGCCTATTATAATCAAGTAATGCAAGCGAAGGTAGAAGAAATGCCAAAAGCCTAGGAAGAAACAGACGAAAGGTCAAAGTACAAGAGACAAGTGTCACCCATTCATGCATCCATGCATCATGCAGGACTGTCGCTAACGCACTCTGCCACAAACTGTCAGAGGTTTCCCCTTCTTCCTGACATGAAAAATAACTATCTTTTACAATCACTGCTGCCTCAGATACAGCACTAAAATATGCTAAGCCCCTTGGCTCCCAGTAGCTTTCCATGTGCCAGTCCCAGTCTCACATATGCCCGTCTGTTTTCCAGCCTTGGCTTCTATGACATACTCCATTCAATCATTCATTCCTGTCTCACTGATTCCAGCTTAAACTAATATATGCGTTTCTATTCCCTGCATCCAGAAGTCTTGATGAGAAGCAAAATGCAAATGAGTATAATAGCCTAAAGAGACAACTCTGATTACATAGTCAAAATAATTAGAAATCTCTACAAGTTCTATCATACAAAACAAAGCCAAAAGTTCAGAGAGACTGTTTTATAAACAAAGCTTATCTAGCCTAGCCTTTGGGAATTTTATTTTACTTTACAAAAAGAGGATTTTTTTTTTTTAATTTTTAAATGAGACACAGGGTTTTATTGGGGGATTATACATAGGGGAGAGAGTTCAGTGGCAGCTGCCCAGGCAGGAGAACTGCCATAATGTGGATTTGAAATGGTTGCTCTTCTTTAAGTAAAAAAAGTCAATGTCACTGCTACATGCACAGCCATACTAGATGCTTTCCAGGCTTAAAAAATATAATAAAAATGTTGTTTCCTATGATGCTGTCGGTAACCTTATACCTAAGAATATACATAGAAATTAAGAGTTATCCATGGTATAAAAATAATATGAAAAAATATAAATTACAAATCCAGGTTTCCTAATTTCTGTGTTCTTTGTAATAGCCAGTGAATCATCTAATACTTTGGTAATTATCCCCTCAATTACAGGAGCTCTACTGATGTTATCACTCAATAATCTTGCCTCTGGTTTAAACTATGAGTCTCAAACCAAGCTGAAAACTAATAAATAAAAAATAACTTTTTCCATATGATCTCTATTTTGCCTTCTCTCTCTCTCTTTTTTAAGACAGCCTCACTCTACTGCCCAGGCTGGAGTGCAGTGTTGTGCAATCTCGGTCACTGCAACCTGTGCCTCCCAGGCTCAAGTGATTCTTGTGCCTCAGCCTCCCAAGTAGCTGGGATTAAGGTAGGCGCCACCAAGCCCAACTAATTTTTTTTTATTTTTAGTAGAGACGGCGTTTCACCATGTTAGCCAGGCTAGTCTCCAACTCCTGACCTCAAGAGATCCGCCTGCCCGGCCTTCCAAAGTGCTGGTGGTACAGGTGTAAGCCACCGCGCCTGGCCTCTCCTTCTCTTTTAAATGTTTTAGTACGCAACCATGTGCACAATGAACACAGTACAAAAATGCCAAAGCAATTTCACTGAGAAATAGATCTTACTGACCTTGAACACTTCAATGACAGGCCATCATATTTGCAAACGTAAACGTAAAACTAGATAAACTTACCATTTGGGTGCCAGATTTCTGTAATGAATTTCATTTTAGGAGGCCGGAGGGGATAATCTTTTGGGAAAGTGAGATGAGCCTTAAAAACACCACCTTCACTGGAAAAAAGAACAAGAACAAGTTCTTGCCTGTAAGTTCCTGCTTGTAAGTATAGAATCATTAAAACAAACATAAAACAAGGGTGCCAGCACTAACATCAAAAATGAAGTAAACAAATAATCTGGATTCACCACAGGCAGTTACTTACTGAAATAACTAGTTTAATAAACTGTCACAGCTATCACTTTAAACTCTCAAGAGAGCTAGTAAAATAAGAAATCATGTGCTAAAAAGACATTCAGATCAGATCAGATCATGTTACCACTATACTACAAACCCTTCCATCACTTCCCAATGCACTTAAAAGAAAATTCAGAAGGTTGAACATCACCAGCTTCTCTATGCTGATTTCAAACTATCGTTCCTCTCTGTTCTAGCCAGTCTTCTTTCTGTTCCTCAAACGTATCTCATCTTTTTCATCTCAAAACTTAGGCTCATTTTTTGTTCCTTGTCTAGGAACAGATATACTGCCTCCATCTGTCCATTTATTCATTTCATCATTTATCAAATATTTATTCAGCATTTATGTGTCAAACTCTAGGGGTACAGCAGCGAAAAGAATCTCAAGAAGTTTATATTTTAATGACTTTCCAGAACAGCACTGTGCAACAGAACTGTAATACTGGAGATGTTCTGTATTTGTGCTGTCCAATAATGTAGCCACCAGCCACTTGAAATATGGCTTATGACTCTACTTTAGACAACATTTCCAGATCACTGACATTTAATTAGCAATTATGCTTCAGGAATCGTCAAAAGAACAATACAATGAGTTGTACACATTAATCAAAACCAAAGAGGTCATGTCAGCCTTACTGAGCAAAAACATTAAATTCCTGTCTTGTGGCCTTGGTACTAAATGTTGCCTCTACTGGAAATACCTTTCTCCTTTTGTCTTCTGATTATCATTCAGTACTCAGCTTAAATATTACCTCTTTCTAAATCTTTCTAAAGATTTTGACTAAAATCTAAACTAGCCACCAGGTCCCCTCTAGTACACTGACCTCTTTTTTAAATTTATTTTTTTATTTTTCTTCTTATCTAGGAATTACTTGAGATGATCTCTTTAAATTTCTTTATTGCAATACCATTTCTAATTCTTCTACTGTTCAATGTGTTCAACCATTAGAGGCATGACTGTGGTTGTTTCAGATCAGTGAGAAAAGAAATTCTCAGCTCATTAAATGGTTTTCATTCATTGAACAAATGCACATTGTTTACCAAGTTACTCTAACCATTGGTCTACATAAAAGGAGAGAACAAAGCATCGGAGAGCACTGTGGAGCTTACCATGTTAGTGGCAGAAGGAAAATATCCACCAGGAAAAATATCAGTACTAAGTACTGTCATGGAATAATACGAGGAATCTATTGTTAAATTTTTAAAAGCAGGTATTTCTAAAATAATCTCATTTGTCTTTAAAGAAACAGTGGGAGCCGCGTGCAGCGGCTCATGCCTGTAATACCAGCACTTTAGGAGGCCAACGCGGGCAGACCAAGAGTTCAAGAGACTGAGGCCATCCTGGCCAATATGGCGACACCTCATTATCTGTACTAAAAATACTGAAATTAGCTGGGCATAGTGGCACGAGCCTGTAGTCCCAGTTACTCAGAGGCAGAAGCAGAAGAATGGCTTGAACCTAGGAGACGGAGGCTGCAGTGAGCTGAATCGTGCCACCGTACTCCAGCCTATAGGCAGAATGAGACTCCATCTCAAAAAAA